CTTAATTTTTTTTCGACTGAAGAAAGAAAGACATGGACATCATAGAAATTAATGTTCATAGAAATTATAATCTGTTACACTGTTATTTTTTGCAATTAATTTAAGTTGTACATTTTAATTTAAGTTGTTATAATACTTTGTTATTATTACTGTCTTCACTATACTATGTGTTACAAGCTTTGGCAATATTGTAATATGTACAGTCATGCCAATAAAGCAATTTGAATTGACAAATTGAATTGAATTGACATCTTGGATGACATGGGGGTGAGTAAATTATCAGCAAAAGTTTTTGGAAAAGTGAACTACTCCTTTAATACAGAAGTTACTCTGGAAAAGTTGCGGCTCAGTTTTGTTTTTGTCTGAAAATGGTGGGTGTCCTTCAGCTGTCGAGACTGGTGGTCAGTGGTTTGCTTTCTTTATCTCTGTTAGCTCTGTCTGTGTTTGTGCTCTGCTGACAGAACTGCAAAGGCATTTGGAAATCTACATTGTGAATTATACGTTTCTCCTCTGTTGACAATCAACCAGTGGTGCGTTTCCCGTACACCAAAGTAACTTGCTGCTGAACTGCCATAGTACGATTCACTTGGAATCAACTAGCTAGTCACGACCATTTCCCGAAATCTTAATGCTGCAAATGTTTCCATGATCAACTGCGTTGGCTAATGAAGCCAAGCACATGGTGAAGTTGGCCTAATCACTTGTTTTGATGAATTCGTTTGAGATTAATAATTTACAGACATGGCATCTGAGGAGAGTTCTCATTTTCCTCAATAATTTTTACTTTATTTCCAGATTCAGTCATAGGCTCGATAAAACGATAAATAAGGTTATTGGGCCCTATCACACACCCGGCACAATGCAGCACCATGCACTATACGCAAGTGTTTTTTGCTAGTTTCAGCCCGACGCAGTTATCATTTTCACATCCTGCGCCACGTTGTTTAAATAGCAAATACATTTGAGCCCATGAAAGCGAGGTGTGTTCGGCGCATTGTTGGTGCGTTGCTATTTTGAGGCAACTGAAATAAACATTGACCAACAAAAACCTGGTCTTAAAGTCAATGGAGCAATTTGTTTTGTAATTTAAAGGGCACATTTGTAATATGATTCTATTCCTCACTGTGCCGTGTAAAAAATAGAAGTAATGAGTAATGCTAAAATGTTATATGTAGCAAAAGTCTTTAATATTTAATTGCAGCGGCTTCAAATTACACTATTTTAGTCACTATTTCAATTAACAGTATGTGTGTAACATGGTATTTTGCACACCAAGGAACAGGATGATTCTCGAAATAGAAGTGCAAACGCAGAAAAGATCTGTTATTTAGAAATCCCCCTGTTTGCATTGCGGTTTGTGACCCTCACTTCAAAGCAGCGTTTGTTTTAGGAGCGGTGAGGGTCTAGAAAAGAAACATCATGAGCTATGCAACAGGTTTTTTGATCTGGTCCAGAAAGATAGAAAAAAAAACCTGTCAGGGCAGAAGCAAAAGAAAGGTCACATATTGCAGTAATTACTTTTGGCCAAGAATAATAATTCCTGGATCAGCAAATCTATAATGAGTGGCAGGTATAGCCTTGAAAGAGGGATTTTTGCTTTCCCATCCCATGAGTGTGGTGTGAAGTGCTTACATGTGAAAGATGTGTGACTCTGATCTATTTAATCTGTTTTGAGGAAGAGATTTAAAGGGATAGTTCACTTTGAAATTAATTTTTGATATGTTTTAGCTTACCTCATGGGCATCCAAGATGTAGCTGTCTTTGTTTCCACAGTATTTTCAATTTTGATATTTTTAGGTCAAACCGTTCTTGTCTGTCAGTCATATAATGGAGGTCTATGGTCACCACCTCAAAAAGCATGCACAGAGAAGTCCAAATTAAACATGATTTAATGATTCGTAAATTTAAGTACTCATTTGGTAATATCTCATATCACCAAATATGAAAACTAGAGATTGTAAGCTTTCAAATGATATACTGTATAGTTTGTCAAAATTAGTTTAGGTTTAGTATAAAGCCCAGTATTTCCTGGGCTCTTTGAGCCTTTGACCCTAAACATAAGTAATGGTTATTTTTTTGGATTTGTTATTGCATGCTATATATTATAAGTATATATGATTAGTTCCCATAACATTATAAAAACTATGTTTTCATAGTTTGAGTTTCTTAGACCCCAAAGAGAACACAAGTACTAAATCATCATATTAATCAGAATTTAAAAAACAGTATTTAACTGTACATTTGAGGTCTGGAAATTCAGGTTTCCCTCTTAAAATGAATAGTGAGACATGTCCACACCTACAGACAACCATTATAAATGATGTAGCAATGTTGAAGTAAATTCTTATTCCAGGACTTTCTAAAAATGTAGTTTCTCTTTAGGGGGTTTCTTGTTTCCTGTGTTTGTTAGGCCATTCATAACAGTGCAGCTATTGTTCACCATACACAGATTTGGAAGAGCAGTACCATAAGAAATCAATTCAGGTCAGGTCAGGCCCCTTTTCTTTGCTTGCTTATTGCATTAAACCTTCAGGATATCATGTTTGGCATTTTGGCAAGGTTTCTTCAACAAACAGCCAAAGAAATCAGATGTCCAACAGCTGAGACCTCCTGATGGATTTTAAAAGGGTCAAGTGGACTGAATGAAAATGGCCCGGAACTCCTAGTAACATGCTTAGAAAATATATGCAAAGAAAAGGTTTTTCGCGTGTATTTAGACCATCTGATGTATATAAATGCAAAGGGTCCAAAAGTCTATGCCCACTAGTGATTGTCATCTTCTGCAAACATGTTTCTGGTCACTGATCCCGTCCTGCTCTGTAATCTCTGTGCAGGTATGGAGCACCTGGTGAAGGAGCTGAGTTTGCTTCTCAAGCTGCTGGAGAACGAGAGCGTGAGTTCAGCCACCGCAGAGAAGATGAGCGTGGTCAGGAACTTGGTCAAACAGCTGCAACCATCTGGTGAGACTGAACTGCAAATACATAACAGCTGAGCTGAACCTCTTGGCCACTGCCCTGCTGAAGGGATTCACATATTAATAATTATAGCAATGTAAAGGTATTTCAGGCTGCAAAGTTACTCTGAAGAAAAGGACTATTTAAAAAAATTGTTATCCTAAAAAATTATAGGAAATTTGATTGTCTTAAAGGAGTAGTTCACTTTTAAAAAAACTTTTGCTGATAATTTACTCACCCCCATGTCATCCAAGATGTCCATGTCTAAAAGAAATTAAGGTTTTTGTTGAAAACATTCCAGGATTTTTCTCCATATAATGCACTTTACTGGTAACCAAACGGTTCAATGTCCAAAAGACAGTTTCAGTGCAAACTGTTCAAAGGGCTTTAAACGATTCTAGACGTTGAATAATGGTCTTATCAAGCCAAACGATCGCTCATTTAAAAATAAAATAACAAAGTTTAAGTTTTATAAGCTCAAATGCTCGCCTTGCTCTGTTCTGTGATGCGCGTTCGTGACTCTCCTGTTCGAGTCATTTGGTTCATTCAACGAACAAAATGAACGAATTGACTCGAAAATAGATTTGTTCATTTTGATGAACGAGTTCGAACAGGAGAGTCACACAGAACAGAGCAAGGCGAGCATTTGAGCTTATAAAACTTAAACTTTGTTATTTTTTTTTTTAAATGAGCGATCGTTTCACTTGATAAGACCCTTATTCATCACCTGGAATCGTTTAAAGCCCTTTGAACAGTTTGTAGTTTGCACTGAAACTGTCTTTTGGACCTCGAACCGTTTGGTTCCCATTGAAGTCCATTATATGGAGAAAAATCCTGGAATGTTTTCATCAAAAACCTTAATTTCTTTAATGACATGGACATCTTGGACAA